AAGTATTCCCAGCTAAGTTTACATCAATTTAGAATAAGCACGACGTTTTTCGGTCTGCTAGAAGTGCAGTACACTTAATTCTCGCGTACATTATATACTAGTAACACTAACCAAAGGAGGTTTCATAGAGTCCTTTGCCATATATCGGCAGTCCTACCAACGTTCCAGCAATTGAGTAATCTCCATTCAGCACAGCATGCGGAATTAGGAACGAAACTCGGATGATCTGCTTCTCGAAGTCAATGCTGTTGACAGAAAGGCAAATGGTGGTCGTTAGGAAAACACCTCATACGGTGTAGTAAGATTGAAAAAGGTTATCAAGTGAATTGTACAAATAAAAATTGTATTTTAACTGGTATAGCACTGATTACACATCGGTTTTTCATGACAAGAAGTAGAAGTAAATGGCCAATTCTAACGCAATCATTAATTTTAGCCATACATAATGGCTAAAATTACAACCGTAGTCATTTATGAGAACTTGGATTCCAAGAAAATGTTGGTAAGAAAAACGCTTACCAAATCTAAGGCCGAAACATGACAAAAAACTTTTTATTCAGCCATTCGCAAATTTTTTTCGTAGTTATCAATTTCTGTCACAAAACGTTTTTCCCCACCACCGAACAATTTTTTCAATTTTTTTCAGAAATTTCCACAAATTTCTTTTCTGCAAAGATATCTTTAATTTCAGCAATTTCTACACTTTTAACAACAATGTTTGGTGAGTTAATAATTTTAAATATTTTCTGAATTTTCTTTCTAACAAAATATCTTACGCCTCTTTAAAGGTCAAACATTTCTCATTCTTAAATTTATTAAGTTTCAATCATTATATCTCTAATATCCTTTTTATATAGTATTTTTTAAAAAATGTGACACCACCCACGAAATTGCACTATTGAAAAATAAGAGAGAAACACATCAAGGACATGTAGTTTCCATGACGATGGAAATTAGAATGCCTGTTGTTGAGTTCAATATGAACTACACATTTGATTTTGAAGCTTAACGTATTTAACAACAGAATATAAAATCTACAGTAACTAATCTCGTAACGTATCTTGATTTTATTAATCCAATAGTCGGCTCCAGGGTCAACCTGATGTTGTTTATTCCGATCTTAGCAGTGCATTTGATCTTGTCCCTCATACTCTTCTACTCAACAAGCTCAGTGCTGTTGGACTCTCTGATGGTTATGTACACTGGTTTCGTAGTTACTTAACCAATCCCAGGTTCGCGTTTCTGAAACTCTTTCGTCTCCTTTTGTGGTCCTCTCTGGTGTTCCACAGGGATCTGTTTTGGGTCCTCTACAATTCAACCTGTTTACTGATGACATATGTCAAGTAATTAATCATTCTAAATGCCTTCTTTTCGCTGATGATATCAAAATTTTTCGTGCCATTAAATCTCCCAACGACTGCAATGAACTTCAAACTGACAGTGACTCGGTACAAGGTTGGTGCACTGCTAAGTTCATGAAACTCAATATTAGTAAAACTACAGTAATTTCCTTCTCCAGGAAAACCACTACTTTGATCTTTGATTACAAACTTTTTCAGTCCTCCATAACACGTACCGACACTATTAAAGACCTGGGAATATTTTTCGACTCCAAGCTCCGATTTCACAACCATGTTGACCACATGTTTTCACATTGTATTAAGTTTCTGGGTCTTCCTTTTCGTTCTCTTCTCTCGATTGCCTGTATATGTTATATGTAACCTTAGTTAGATCCAAGCTCGAGTACGCCTCGGTCGTTTGGAGTTCTATTACGACTACTGATGCCAACAAACTGGAACGTATCCAGCAGAAGTTTACAGCTCTTTGCTACTATCGTTTCCTCCCCCCAAGTGCATTACAGCTACGCTGATGCTTTAGAGCAGGGGCCGGCAAACTACGGCCCGCGGGCCAAATCCGGCCCGCCGCCTCTTTTTGTACGGCCCGCGACCTAAGAACGGATTTTACATATTTAAATTCTTTGAAATTTCAAACTGCTTTGTGCATTTCCCATGCTGTTAGAAATTAAAAGAAGTGAGATTTCCATTCGCGCACAAATTTGCAGCGGATATATTTTCTGAACTCAAACTACAGTTCCAGGAGCGTGTTTCGGATCTTGATGCAAGTGCAGAAGACATTTCCATATTTCAAAATCCATTTGACTGTACAATTGAGAAGCTTCCACCTAACCTTCAATTGGAAGTGATTAATCTGCAGTGTGATTTTGTTAAAACTTGGTTTTTTCTTGTTACATAAGTAGGCTTACCTATTCAAATATCCTCGAATTTGCCTCTTGGCCCGCAGAGCCTAAAATACTTACTATTTGACCCTTTAGAAAAAATGTTTGCCGACCCCTGCTTTAGAGTATTTAAAACTCCAGACCCTGCGTAAGAGAAGGCATTGTAGTAAAGCACTGTCCCTTGCGCAGGTTTACCGCGGCTTTAAATGCTGTCCTTCCCTTCTAGAAGCTGTCGGTCTCCGCATCCCTGCGTGGAATCTGAGAGATTTTTCTATGTTCAGTTTTAGTCCTTTGATCAAAAAGAATCTTTCTGCTAGATGCAGCATCAGCTGCTAATGTCGTCTGTTGTTTTGGACATATTGGAGACGAAAATTGTCACACTTCTTCACATTCTATAATAGCATAATTTACTTAATTGATTTAAATTATTTTTACAAATATGCAAATATATTTAGTTGAAATTTTCTTGTGTATTTACGTCTTCCGTATTAATATATTTTATATTCTGCTTGTTTTATCGTTTATGGTTTTATTGTGTTCATGTGCTCATCTCTGTGCTGTATCTGTAATTGGTCACCAGGCTGTTGATGCAGCACACTAATAATAAAGAATTGAATTGAATATACTAGTGCCATCAAAACGCTGTTACTTTATATATTTAGATTTTGATGATAAAACACATATCACTTCACGGCAATATGTCATGCTTAATTTTGTTATAGTTTTTCCCAAACGGGTAGCAATGGGAATCAAAATAAACATTCCAGTTTGACCACTGTAATGTGAGGAACATTCATTTAAAAATGGAAGAAGCTAAGTTTTTCCTCAAAAATCGGTGAACTTCGACATCGCAAATAACGTATTTCAAAAAATGTACGAAACTTGTATATCTTTCACGAGGGTCGAGTCGAGGCGTGGGTCTTATGCCGCTTGGTCGCAGGGACCGTGAGTTCGAATCTCACTCAAGCCATGGATGTTTTTCTGTGTTGTGTTGTCCTGTGTATAGGTAGAGGCCTTGCGACGGGCCGATCCCCTCTCCAAGGAGTCCTACCGAATATCCATAGGTCAAGCCAACTGAAAAAGTTGGGGGCCCTTAAACGGTACAGGAAAATGTACAAACATTGTTAAACCGGAAAAAGAAGAAAAAATAAATAAACTTTTAAAAAATAGTTTTATTACAGTAATTATCAGAAAATTATTATATGATAATTATACTGAACTGTTCTTGGTTAATAAAACTAATCTAGCCAGTAGAAAAACGGTTTACATGCCACGCCGCGAGGCGTACGTTACGTATCGTGTACGATAAACCATAACGTATACATACATTATAATAAAACGTATTTTATAGACCATTCCATGTTTAGTACATGGTTTTAATGCTTTAAAACGTCTGCTAACGTAAACGATACGTATCGTAAAAGCTCAGAAATTCAAGAAACACATAACGTCTCATTGTGTTGATGTATCCCATTGTTTGGGTGTCATATTGTTTTTGTTGTGTCCTTTTGTTTATTGTTTTGTTCTGTCTCTGTGTTGATGTATCTCATTGTTTATTGTGTCTTATTGTTTTTGTTGTGTCCTTTTGTTTATTGTTTTGTTCTGTCTCATTGTGTTGATGTATCTCATTGTTCTGTTCTGTCTCATTGTTTTGTATGTTATTGTAGGACACTGCCACCGGGTATAAACCCATTTGCAGTCAATAATAAATAATAATAATAATAACAAAAACGTATAACGAACGTCTTGGAAAGGAACTCGTTCCTAAACCGACAGTTTCCTGTATAGTCATTTTATTATATAACAAAATGCCAAAACAACAAATAACAGTAAACTGGAACATTCAATCAGTGTTTGAACAATAATAAAAAACTAAAAGAAAAAATAATGGCGATTTACTACCTGAGTTTATAAGATGTATAATTGTTAGTCCCTTGGGGTGAGGTAAACAACACTCATGATTGGCGATTTTATTCATTCGCCTGGATGGATAGGCTTTCATAATGTTTATATTTAATCAAGCTCCAATAATTTTTCTGAGGAGCTGAAAAGAAGTATGGTCATCCTATTGCAACAGTTTCGAGTGACGAGGAATATATTAATCCAGTAGATTACACAGAGGATAATCAGCTTGTGGGTTTTGATGACTTTATATTTGATAAACAAAAGTGTGTAAGATACTGTCATTTACAAGAGAAAGGCATTAATGTATGTTTTATCTTGCTCAATGATTTTCAAAGGTTCCGAAGTAAGTAGTTAGGGATAATGCAAACGTTCTATGTTTATTCAGACAAGACACCACTAATATATAATATGTTTATAGAACTTTATAACAGGATAAAGACTGATACAGCTAACCGACGATCTGAAACAAGGAAAGAAGATGAAGTTCCAGGAATTAAAACGAGAAGCTGGAAATAGGGAAAACTGGAGAGCTCTTTTTGGGCAGAGCAATGGACCTGTCGTAAGACAGAACACTGAATAATAATATAGCAGGATACTTGTTGTTTATGAGCCGGGATAGCTCAGTCAGTATAGTGACTAGCTACGGGCTGGACGACCGGGGTTCGATCCCCGACGGGGGCAGAGGATTTTTCCTCTAGCCTCTGCGTCCTTGCGTATAGTGGGACAAACTTTACTTTTTATACTTGTTGTTTGACGAATTCGAATCTATGTGTAGTAAATTTTAAAATGAAGAATACTGGCGTTTAATAATAGGCATAATGCGGAAAATTTGTAATAGCAGGTATAGAAATGAAATTAAAGATTTTGTTAGAATTATAATGGATAAAAATCTGTTAAAATCTTAAGTGTCTAAACAAACCTACACAAAACAAACATTTTCAAAATTTATACCTCTTTTTCTTTCATGTTAATACCTTCTCTAGGTTCAAATGATACCTTTTCTGAGAACATTTCCGTTTCCGAGAAAGAGAGCAGGAACATAACCACGTTCGAAATTACAATCGCTAAGCATTCGGATCCAGTAAAATTTGATCACGAAATTAATATTAACCGCCAACGCTGAGGAACGTAATGTCGAGATCTCGGTAATTCGTCAGATTCAACTGCATGCGACTTCAATGCAAGTTTAGATGAAGATAAATGTACTAGATGCTGTGTCATAGCTCCCTTGTTTTTAAACTTTTCCATACCAGGGACCATACTCTACTATTTCTGTACAGACCGACACGAACGAAGAGAGGTTGGCCAGAGAAAGAAATATATGTAAAATGGTGGCTGATTCACGCTTGAAACAACTGAATACTTTATACATAAACTCTCTGAAGCTGACTGTCTCTCAACGGCACTGACAATAGATGCGCGGAGGCTTCCAAAACTCGGCGGTCATTTTTCATGTTGGACAATTAAGCAATTCGTGGGAAGCATGGTACTTTTTTGAAAAGCCACTGTTCTTTGTTAATTTTTTTATCCATGGAGTAACAGCCCTCTGAGAGCCAAAGCCGACTAGCTGCCTGTTGGCCTCACGTTCACATGCCTAAGCAGAGGTGAACGATCATCCAACCAGATATAGGGTGACGTGTGTTCAGCACAACGAACCCCCAGCCATTGCTAATTTTCCTGACCGGATTACGCTACTCATTGTAGCTCCCCAATTTCCTCATGATGCTTGGTTGGCACCGGTCCCATACACAAATCGAAAATCTCATAGAAAATTTCTTTCCCGGAGACTCGAACCAGCGCGCATCCCGTGTTATCGGTCCGAAGCATGATGCCTCAGACCGCGCGGCTACGGCGCGGGACCTTGTTTTTTAAAACTGCTACTAAAGTAGTCCTATTATCGCTCTGGTACTCGCCACTGGACCTAAGCTTCGCGGGTTCAAACCTGGCTGAGGTCGATGGATTTAGTCTTATTGTTGGAGACAGTTTCACATGTTACTCAGTTTGCTGTGACAGTATCTGCCATTGGTGAGGTATTTGACACTACTTTTGCATGTTGCATTCTTTCAATATCAGGTTTTATTTTTGTTGTTGTACTTATCAAAGGGTTAAAAAGTAAGATACGTTTTAGTGTAAACGTCACCAAATTGAATGCTTTAGTACAACAAAATACTTCACACGTCTACCGCGCTATTCTAAGTCACCAACAGAGAAATTATTTTTTGCTACGTTGCGAGTGCTGCGCTGTAATGACTAGCCTGGGATCCGGTATTCGTGTTGCAGCGCCAGACAATTTCTTGTAGCTCAAATCTAAAACTTCTTAACGATGGTGAAGAGTCAATTGAATAAAAATTTACTTGGATATTATCCATCGTCTAGTAATAAAACGTAAAAAACGTAAAAACGACGTTTCGGAGATGGGGCTCTATCTCCGTCTTATTACTAGACGATGGATAATATCCAAGTAAATTTTTATTCAATTTCTTGTAGCCTCGAAGCATGCAATTTTCTGACGGCTGCTGTTGTTTCTATTTGACCTTTATTATTAAGTTTATGATTTATTCACATCAATAAGTACTGCGAAACACTTCCCAAAACACAGTGTTATTAAAAACATACGCACGAAGCTCAGAAAACATCGGTGGACCTGTTGACAAGCCCTGGTATAGCCAATGAACGGATATTTCTGAAGTGTGTGGGAAGATTTGAAAGGAAAGTAATCTCTAGATATTTATTCATTTACTCTTCAGTATATAATTCAAATTTTACCTGAAATCTTCAATAACGGCATCCTTCACTCCCGCGATGGTGAAATTGCTGGAAGATACGTTTATACCCGAGTGTGTCAGAAAAAGGTTCTGGACCACTAGTGGATCCAAGACAGGGATGTCATACTTCCGATCTCCTGAGAAATGTAGAATCTACTTGAAACAGATATCAGCGACCACGACATCTACAAACCATTGCTAAATACTCCTCACGCACAAAACCACATTCGTAGGTCACGAACTAGAAGCTTGGTCTCGTGGCTCTCAGTGTTATATTAGCATTTACCATTAGGAGTTTCACATGTTCCCCAAATTGGGTACAATTAATTTCGAAGTTCCAGAATGTTGCCATGTCTGTATTGCTTTAAATTCAGAAAGAAGTTATTAACGACATTTATTTTATGATATATCTCAATAAAATTTACAGTGGTTCAGTGGTTTATTAATTTAGCCGCAAAACAGATAACCAAAATCAAGATTCGTGAATTGCCATGTTATTGTTTAATATTACAGTAAAAAACCTTGTCAAATTAGCATAATTACTAAGTACAAGTACAGTAAAACCTCTCTAACGTGGACACTTGCGGTTCCACGATAATGTGTCCAAATTACAGAGGTGTCCAGGATAGAGGGAAAGGGGAAAATCATCTTTTCAAATTGTGGTGTAATGACAATGAGGTAATTGCAGAGTATTATGGAGCCCTTCCCAAAAAGGAAATTATTGATAAGAAAAATCAAAAGGGTAAATTAAATTTTTACAAATTTTGTTTTCACTAAATTAATCTTGCATGGATAAGCTCAAAGGGAAGGCCACTGATACTTTACGTTTACCGACAATGTAATCTATTTACTTACATAATCTAACTACTGTAGGCTTTCTCGAATTAAGAATTAATGACAATAATAATAATCTTTTGAAACCCACTCACATGGTTGCATTACACCCCAGCCTCAATGAAATTTTAAATGTTCAAAATGTATTTTTTTAATTGTACTTACGGCATTAGCTCAACATATGATGTCACTTATTTCTTGTAAAAAAGTCCGTCACAAAACACTGCTTTTTTGCTTTTATCTTTGAATTTGCCCATCCTCTTTCTAATTTTTGCCGCAATCCAAATAAAGTTTCAACCATTCCTGGTTGGTTATGAGCGAAAGCATACCGTTCCAATTTCTTCTAGCTCCTTCATCCAGACCACTTAACCTCCTGCCCAATGAGTACCGGAGCCCTTTGCAATTTCCTCAATTCGATTCGATGAATTTTAAGGGTTTAGAAGAACCTCGAGAAACTTCTGTTTTTTAGTGTAATGCAAAAGATTATTTTATAAACTAAACTGCTCTTTCTTAACCATGAAAAATACTATTTAGATAATTACATATTTATAATGAAAATGGCTGTCGTCTGGATTGTGGCGCCATAATAGTGCTGATAATTGTGGGAGCAGGTACTTGTGAATCTTCGGAAGAATTCTACGAGACTTCACAGCACTACAACCCGAAAGGCACCCATTTTCGTAGGTGCAGCAGTGAGAACCTCAAATCCTTCACCACATGCTGGAATACGTAACGAAGTCCATATTTCATAGTCCATAGTCATTCTAAAAATCCGAAAATTTTCAACTACTCAAATTATTTGTCTTTATGGGACCCAAAGATCCATTATCGTGGTCATAATAACCTGACACCGGCCCAATCCTGATAGTTAAATCCAGCTTATGCAGTCAAAATAGATTTATTTATTTATTCTTCCTTCTGTGCCTAGATCTCTCAAACAGTGTTTTGTCCTGAAGTTGTGGAATATGTTTTTCTCATGCCATCCCTCCATGCCATATATTTGCTATCCTCAGCTTGAGTTATTTAATAGAACTAACAATATTACTTTTGCAGCTAATGAACAGTTGTTTAGAAATAATGAATGATGCGTATACTTATCACACAGAAAAATCGTATGAAAGTTACAAGAACAGCAAGAAATATCACAATCAGGAACTAAATATTATGAACGTGCGGGCATACCATACGTTTTCATAAAACACTCTTCGCCTGCCCACGGAATATTATGTAAAAATTCAGTAAGTAATGAAATAAAAGCACGTATTGTGAATCAGCGCTAAAAACTGCATAGAGGACGATTATTTGGAATCAGATGTGCTCTCCGCAAGTAATCGTATGGATGCAATTGCTCTTCTTAAAGTACTTCGAAGAATCCTTGTGCGATATCGCGTGAGCTTCTCCACGGCTGTCAATTCACACCTGCAAGTATGACGTCTTCATTGGGTGTTATCCGTGCAGTCTGTGGGCGTTCTGCATTCACATGTGTCGTAATGTCCCACGTAGCGTACAGATGACGTCGTATAGGACAACACAGCGCTTAGTCCCGTGAAGCAGTACCAGTTCGACTACTACAGGCACCAAGTGTAATGAGCAAGTCGCTGTATTGGTCGTGTGTTTTCCAAGATTATTCGATTTCAGTTTAGCTCTGCATTGCACTGTCTTGAGCACACATAACAACGAACTCTACGTATCGTCATGACATCTCGAAAACTAAGCGTCCCAGGATTAATGTTATTTAACATTCTGCACTTATTTTTTGTGACACTATGGACTCCATTGATAAGAAGTGTGTAACCATATTGACGGTGACGTTTATCTCGAAAACTAAGCTTCCCAGGATATATGTTGTTTAACATTTTGCACTTATTTTTTGTGACACTATGGACATCATGTGCGTGAATTTCATTTCACTTTGTGTAATATAGAAATTAGGTATCGGGTAATATATTAAAGAAATATCATTTCATCTGAAGCAATTCGTGTGGTTCGAACCACATAAAATGGTGAGAAAACCTACACGTCAGTCGAATGAAAGACATTTTCTTCCAGAAATAACTATTCTAATGTCCTGCATTCGTATCGAGGAAAATACGCAAAACTTCTTTTATTACAGCTAAAATTGTTTATCGTTTTACTTCAAGTTTCAAGTTACAGTGAAGGAAGATTTTGTTGGTGGCAGGGAATTAACTTTAAAATAGTGGATACATATTGGCATCAAACCCCTAGAAGTTCTATCCTGATTAAATAAGAAAACCGGACTGAAAAGTATAGATAAGTGCAGGCTTCTTTAGTGGCATCGTTATTGTCTGTCTTAATTTTGTGTTTACGTAATGCGTTGTAAATCCAGTAGACATTGTTGGCAGTATATAGAGAGACGTTAAACGAATAATGTTATTAAAACTGACACATGGTAATTAACATCATCACAGCGTATGTTTTACAGTCTTCTGGCAGTTTCTTACATCCTAGTCACTTAGGATTCTTTGCCCTTTTTTTAGAGTAGCAGGTGGTGAGAATGCTGCCTCCGACATGAAGATAAATACCCTTAAAATAGAAAAGTTGTGCTTCACGTTTAATGAAATGCTTCTCACAGACTCGAAAATTCAATTATTCCCTTTTATAGAGTGACCAGCGTGTCATATTTTGTTCCATTGTGTCTGAGGATTCAAAATAGCAACTTGGATCTCGGTTTGGGGTTAATTACAAGGTGGTCCTTAAAATAACTTAGATATAAAGAATGTTATACATCATAATATCCGTATTATGGACGTGCTATATATTATAATATTTTCACCAAGATATATGGAAGAAAACAGTTATGTAAAGTCGTAAATGAAGAGATCCCCCTCTCAAAATCGAAACTGGCCCATGAAATTTATTGTATATATGCTATATCGAGTTTTATCCAAACCTGTTAGGTAGTTTGTACCCTCTTACTATGCTATGGGATAGGTGAGTACGTGAGTTTGGCTTTTCCATTTCGGAAGCGGCCAAAGACATGCAAGGAGTAGGATTGTTGTGAAGCAAAATTCACTTTTCCGGCTAAATATTTGGCGACTCTAGAAAAATCGTTGTTGTTGTAAAGTATAATAGATACAAAAAATAAAATCATGAAGCTGTCTTGCTACACGCCATGTAGGCGCTTGGGATGAGAGTAAAAGAAACATACACATTTTAACTTCGGCATAAGATGCGGGTCAGCATTACGTCCTGGACTCACTTCATCCCCGGGAAAGTACTCCGGTACTGAATGCTTGTAAACGTATCTTGTTCCAAAGAATTATTTAATCGGTCAGTCATTTGTTTTGATAGGTTTTATGTGATTACTGACAAGAGTAAAAATTCTTCCGGTACAAATATTATCATTATAAAAATTCCATTAATAATTTTCATTTGAAGTACTCACTATACATTAATCTAAATATACTGATTTTATTGTAACTTACGTAAGTTGAGTGCTTTAGCGCCGATGATCACAAGGTAGAATGCGAAGATCGTTTCAGCCTTTGTCATGGTGAAGAATTCTTCACAATGTCATGAAGGACAAAGCGCTCCTATCATATATACTTCTAAACCAGTTCACCTTCATTAAAATATGAAAAAAAATATCTACGTCGTTGTAGCACAACTGGTTGTTACATTAATTTAGATTCCAATCATGGAAATAATTTTTGGTGTACTTAACGATCGTGGCTCTCAGTGTTATATTAGCATTTACCATTAGGAGTTTCACATGTTCCCCAAATTGGGTACAATTAATTTCGAAGTTCCAGAATGTTGCCATGTCTGTATTGCTTTAAATTCAGAAAGAAGTTATTAACGACATTTATTTTATGATATATCTCAATAAAATTTACAGTGGTTCAGTGGTTTATTAATTTAGCCGCAAAACAGATAACCAAAATCAAGATTCGTGAATTGCCATGTTATTGTTTAATATTACAGTAAAAAACCTTGTCAAATTAGCATAATTACTAAGTACAAGTACAGTAAAACCTCTCTAACGTGGACACTTGCGGTTCCACGATAATGTGTCCAAATTACAGAGGTGTCCAGGATAGAGGGAAAGGGGAAAATCATCTTTTCAAATTGTGGTGTAATGACAATGAGGTAATTGCAGAGTATTATGGAGCCCTTCCCAAAAAGGAAATTATTGATAAGAAAAATCAAAAGGGTAAATTAAATTTTTACAAATTTTGTTTTCACTAAATTAATCTTGCATGGATAAGCTCAAAGGGAAGGCCACTGATACTTTACGTTTACCGACAATGTAATCTATTTACTTACATAATCTAACTACTGTAGGCTTTCTCGAATTAAGAATTAATGACAATAATAATAATCTTTTGAAACCCACTCACATGGTTGCATTACACCCCAGCCTCAATGAAATTTTAAATGTTCAAAATGTATTTTTTTAATTGTACTTACGGCATTAGCTCAACATATGATGTCACTTATTTCTTGTAAAAAAGTCCGTCACAAAACACTGCTTTTTTGCTTTTATCTTTGAATTTGCCCATCCTCTTTCTAATTTTTGCCGCAATCCAAATAAAGTTTCAACCATTCCTGGTTGGTTATGAGCGAAAGCATACCGTTCCAATTTCTGTTAACACTGTTTAACTCAGTTGCAAGCATTGTACTGACAAAGTTAAAACTGTACCAGCAATACGTACTGTAGTCCAGTGAAGGGTTCAACAAAGAATAACTATACACTTCCACTGCATTCCAATGATGTGTTCAATGTCCTACACCCTCAATCATAAGCTAATCCTCAGGTAGAAGGCATTCATCAGTCAGAAATTCAAAACAACAAAATACTAACTGTAACCGTTTCCCTGAAAAGCATCGAAGTTAAGTGCATAAACCTGTCCAACTTACAATAAAAAGGGGTGACCAAGTTTCCTGGATAAAGAGGTGTCCAAGATATATGGTGTTGTGGACATGTAAAATTATAGGATATTCGCCGGTTCCAATTAAAAATGTCCAATATAGAGGGGTGTCCAGGATATAGGGGTGTCCAACTAGAGGGGTTTTACTGCAGCAGTTTTACTGCCGGTAATTTCGATAGATGATTATACGCTTGCAAATGTTATTGTCGTTCTGTCGTATATTATTAACCTAGCAGCAGAATCCGTGACAGAGTTTCTTAGTTAACTTTGTTTTACGATCTAACCGAGAATCCATTATATGTCTTACCATGGCAATTATTATAACTACGTAGCATACGCATTAATAAAACGTGTATTAATAATCGGTAGCCACAGCAGAATTAATACATTGGGATTCATTCGGAATAAGAGGAAGTCGGGCTTAGTTGGTTTATGGATAACATATCTGAAGGTAAACTTTGGTACAATAATTTTATTCACCGTCTTTACACAAGCTTATAGATTGTTAAAATCACATAAAATTATAACATTTCAACATTTGATATTGTTACATTTTAAAATGACGACATGTTTCGATGTTCATTCCATCATCGTCAGGTCTATCAATCAAAATTAAAAACTGTTGCATCTGCTGCTCTGCGTATACTGATTTTGTTCTACCCGTTAGATTTTATTTGTTTAACCTCCAGGCTTCTTCCATTTAATTTTGAGGGCTGCGCCTGGATGCCTTAAATCTGCAAAATCAATTTTCATATCGTGATCCTGGCTACTGACATAGGAAATGGAATAATTTTAAAGAATTACTCAAT